CAATTTCATAAATTTATGAAGTTTTGCATTAAAATATTAGACAGATAATCTGTAAAAATACTTTATGCCTCTTTCTACTCTTTGAATAAAATATGAAAATAAGTAAATACTACATTATACATCCCTTAGTTACTTTGAAACTTGGCAGAAATATCTTGCTAGCTTCGAGCAATAAACAATAATTTCATGCAATTTCAGAAGAAAAATGGTTTAATGAAAGTTAGAAATGCATTTCAAGAATTGGCAGTGCAATGGATCAGAATTGAAACATTCGAAATCTCATATTCATTTAAACATAAGTAATATTTTTGATCTAATGATTCTTCGTATATTTCATTAACCACTAAAGCCATATAATTATGAATAATTGACTTCATTTCTCACATAATGCTGCTTGAAAAAATATAAAACCTTCACTTCAGCAGTTTGTTCTTCTGCGGAAATAAAATGAAAACTTACTAATTACATGACATGTCAAGCTAATAGGTAACCTTAGTGCATGCCAGCTAGATAAAATGAAAAAACTCCCACATAACGAATCAGTGAATCAGTAAAACGCAAACAATGTTGTAAGCTTTTTATTTCAAGTGATGATTGCATTGGATTATTTGTTATTTCAGTTAATGTTTGCAGCTCGTATGTTATCATCATGATGTCATTATAAAAATTAATATGGATAAATTGCTTTAATAACAGCTAAAAGGAACTAGAATTGCTATTTTATTATTTGTCTTGATTTCAATAAAACTTGATAATAGCTCTGAATATTCTCAAATTAAAAAAAATTACTTCATCCTAAATTATTATAATCAACGAAACAATAATTTAATTTGTACTTATTTTCAACTGAAAAAAAAAATGCCTTGACACTTTGCAATTCTTAAAATTTAAGATTAATGAAACTGTTACATCAGTAATTCCTTAATCTCTTGATTCTTAAAAATAAGTGTCATATTTGCGTTTTCAGATGAACTCCTTGATAATAATGAGAAAGTTCTGCAAATTTATCTCCTCTATCAGAAATATCTAAGAAAGTATTGTATCACAAAAAATAAAATTTCAAAAATTTTTATTCCTAAATTGCTCATAAGTGAAAAAAAAAGATTATCTGATTGAAAAACTCGACAAATGTAAATAAACAATTGTCATTTCCTTTCTGGTTTGCAATCTGTAGTTTATTTCCGTTTTATATATACTATGCGGTTTATAAAAATTATGAGCAAATGAAAAAAATTGATAAAAAGCTTCCGATAAAAGTTTTTATTTGAAGTGCTCATTTCGAATGAAAAAAATAATTTTCTGCTTTGTGAAAAAAAAAGAAAGCCAAGTGAGTAAAAAAGTGATTATTTCACGATTTTTCATTCCATGCTTTTGAAAAATCTTCTCAAAAATTATTTATTTTTTAATTGCTAACCAAATATCACTTCAAAAATAATTAAAAAAACAACTTTTACCACTATGTGAATTCATAATGAATACAGTTTGTGTAATATGAAAATAAAATGTTAGGCATAACACTTTAGAAAGGAATTCATTTTGCAAACTACATCTGCATTCAGTTGTCACGCTAGCATTTTTTGATAAACATTAAAAATAGGATTAAGTCAGTAAAAATCACAAAAATAGCCATTTGGAAAAATATACAAATATGTAAGCAAAACGTTTAAATAATGGTTACATCAGTATTTTAAAAACGCTATCTGCACTAATAACTAAAACTGAAACAAACACTGATCAAATTTGATGAATGCCTCAATTTCAATCATAACAATTATTAATATTTTTAATGTTCATATGTTTAACAAATAAAAGACAGAAAAATAAAAGACGATTAGTATTTTTGAGCATAAGAACTGGAAGGAAGAAAGGAAGTGTGTGAACGGTTTATTGTAATTTTAATTTAAAATATGCAAATGGATAAGGGATCGACGTGAATCTAAAGTAGGATTGGAGAAAAAGCTAGTAAAAATGAAAATGAAAGCAGAAAGGGTTTTTTTACTTACAGCTGTGACAATCTTTTCCTTTTTTGTTTTTTCTCAAAAATGTTTTGCAACTAAAAAATGTATGCAAATAGATGGCAATGCATTTGCCACCTGTATTTTACAATAGGCAAATAGTCTACACAAAATAGCAAAATTTTTTACTTTTTTGTTTGTTTGGCCTTTAAAGGCACCACTTTTTGCTATACTTTCATTCATTTCATTCCAATTATATTACATCAAAAACTATGCAGAATTCAACTTCAGCATCATTTACGAAAGAGAAAAAATATTTTGACACTTTTAATATTTCATTCTCTGAGCGAAATCAAATTACAAATATGCTTATCAAATTTAAAGCAAAAAAACAAGAGTAAATTATGCTCACAATATATTGAAAGTAATCTAATTTTTATTTTGTAATGAAAATTAAAGAAATGAAATATATCAGCTATATTAAATGTGATTTAAATTAAAAGCTTTTTGAGAAAAGTTAAGTTTCGCAGACTTATACTTTTAGATTAAATTTTGCAATTATAAAAAATTAAATTTTAGCATTTTCGATCTCATAAAAAGTAATTAACATATTCTTGGCATGTCAACTGCTAATTTTTCAACTAAACTCTGCAAAACAACTTACTCTAATAACTTTTCTTGCTGTAATTGTCATCATTTCAATATGTTTTCTTGCATTCAATTTCAAAATTTATGTATTCAAGCAGGAGATCGATATTGCGATTAGTTGATCACATACTGCTCAAGTTTTAATTGTAAATTATAAATTCCTGAGTGCAACTTTTCACTAACTTAACAATAAAAACTGCTTTTATAATAATTCTTCTAAGTGAACTCTTCACTTGAATCCATCTGACGGTACTAATTGATATTTTAATTTTTTGAAAAACCAAAAAAATTGTTAACAGCCATTCTAACTACACAAATCAATTAATATTTAAAAAAATTATCAAGAAATTATTTGCAGGCAATAATTACTTTGCATTCATTAAATATTTTTCAGTTTTCCATACTATAATTAACTTGCTACTTTTATTGCAGCTCATTATCTGATAATAACTTATTCTTGTGAAAATTACTATGCTGAAATTTTAAAAACTTTCGAGGGACATTTTAAAAAATTTTTCAACCAATAAATAGCTCTTTGGCTTGTTCAAGATTTATAGACAGTAGAAGTAAAAGCAGAAAATATAACTTAAAATTTTTTAAATAATTATAGCATTTTAAGTATTTGCTTATATGAAATCTGATAAAATCTATTTATGGAAAATTTGTATTTTATTAAGAAAAAATTGAAAAGTAAAGGAACACTAAATGTAATGCTTGAAATTAAAAATAAATTGACATGGATGAATGTGGCGGTGGTGTAGCTCGGAAAAGGCAATGTTAGTAAATTGAGAAAAGTTTACTTTCAAGGGACATTTTTCTATTCGCTAACCAATAAATAGCTCTTTGGCTTGTTTAAATTTATATACAGTGGAAAGTGAAAGAAAAAAATGAAGAATGAATTGTTTCAAAGTATGGATAAGTTTGACTTAATTTATAATTATTGATAATCAGCAAATTGTTTGTTATTATTTTCTGATTAAATGGTTGCCACTAGTACTGTCTTTTGTTTGTAACACAGGAAGTTCAGATTTGTATCATTAAAAACTTTGCTATTTTTTAAACAAGAAAGCTACCATAAATAGATGAAATTAAATAAACGGTAACTGTTTATATCTATTATAAGCAAAAGTTTGCTTAAAATTATTTAAATTTCTAAGAAGAAATGAAAATTTAAATCATTTAAAGTATAGAAATTAGAATGAAACAAAATTTTAAAACTAAAGTTTCTTATTTTCCTTTGAAAAATAATTATCGTGTAATAATAAAGCAAAGTTTTTTCGTACTATAATTATGCTTGAAACATATTGCGAATTTTTTTAATACATTCTATGAAACTTGAAAAGTTGCTGCATTTCTGCCATTAGACCAATACGAACAACAATTTTCTTAACTGCATGTTATGCAGTTTCTTGCATCATCTAAATCAGTGTTCAAAGAAATGCAAAATACATCACATATAGGACCTCCTAAGTATCCGAGCGTCAAGAATTATGCCATTATTATAATTTTTCATTATAAGTTAGATGAATAAAATTATGAAGTAAATTCATGTACTTGTAATAATTTGATAATCACAAAATATATTGTTAATACTGATATTTGTTTTCTTTCATACTGTTTTTTTAAGAAATCTAAAGAGCTTATGATCATATAATCAGATTTAGCCACAAGTTCATGAGTATGCATCAATTGAGTAGCTGAAAAGCTCTTGATTTCAGCTACTTTTAATTAGATTTCATCAAGAATTTACTACTATACTAAAATGTTATACTGTCACCTCAATTCAATTACATATTCATCTCTTCGGACTGAAATGCAATTAATTATAATTAATACGAAGATGTAAAATATGCAAACCTCACGATGATCGTTGAAATCGAAATTTGAGCCGTTACCAGACAAGTAATAGCGATGAGTAGTTCTTAACTCTTGATAAGTTGAATACTGACAGAATATCGTCCTATAATAAAAATTGAATCTATAATAAAAATATAAACTTAATAATAATTGAAATCAAAATTGAATAGCAATATACAGCTGTCCCGTACGTTAGAATTTCATGTATTTTGCTTACATAATTTAGTAAACAATAATTCCTGAGAAGAAAAAGTAAAATTATTGCTTCATTTATAACATTATCAATTTTATTAAGAATGAAATCTTGTGAATTTTAATTCTAGAAAATGAGTAGTAAAACTATTTGTCAGCCAAATTTTAATTTAACATTATCAGAAGTTCAATTTAAGGCAATTTCAATTATATTTCGATGTAAATTCTTTTCAATAGGCTTGAAATAAATATAATCATGCATAAACCTTATAACCATTGTTGATTACTTTTTTATATTTAAAAGTTGACGACTACTATAATAACTTTTGCATGCATTTTTAATAAACTTTAAAAAAAATAATTTGTAAAAATGTGATACTTTTCGCGAATAACTGCTGGACACGCAGTAGAAACAGCAATTAAGTTCTGCGCACTTTGCTCATCTTCATATTCGACAAAAGCCTAAGAAGTTAACATGAATAAGATAGCATGCTATAGTATAAACAAATTAAAATGTATAGTAGATTTTTGGATTAAAATGCTTTTTGAAAGATAAATTATTTATAATCAAGACTTACTTGATTTTTAACATTTAGTAGCAAATAATTGACAAGTTTGCCAAAAGGCATGCAGAATTGAAGTAATTCAAGATCTGTCATATCAGATGGTATGTTCCGAAGATGCACTACTCGAGATATTTGAGAAGTGCCACTACCTTCTATTGCATATGCTTGCGTTGTTACAGGCATTATAGATCCAACATCTAAAAATTTTTGTTAATGCATCCATTTGTCGTCAGAATTTTTCCATTAAATTTTTTTTTTTTAAATTATCAAATCTCAATGATTAACAAATTGAATAAGTTAGCATTCAAAAGTCTGATGAAAATTTATTTAATTTTATTTCAGAAAAAATAAAATAAAATGAAAAGAAACACACTCACTAGTAGAGGTTAAGGGTTGGCCCAAGAACTGAGCACTGTTATCAAAATTAATAGTAGAAATAAACTGCTGCTGCGTCGTAGGCAGTACCATTCCATTTGTGGCGAGTGTCATTAAGCTGACTGAGCAATCGTACTTTGCCTAAAATGCATCTCAGATAACTTTTGTAGAACAAATAGCACTGAGATTAACAATATATTCATTGTTCTTTGATATTTCAAAGAATAAGTGAATATTTTATAAAGTGACAAACCTTCTTAATTTCGTTACTGGCTGAAGCACGTAATAAATTTGATGGTAATACTCCACTACTTGAGTTTCTTGTCAACGGGGTGAATGAGTCATCTGTTCCACGCTAAAAATGAATTCTCTTAATTTGAAAATCATTTTAATGTTTGTTCTAATCAGAATTAAAAATATCAAAAATCAAAAAATCATCATGTCCAAATACAAATTCATCTACAAGAACGAAGTTGTATTTTCATAAAAGATAAATATTTCACATTTTAATAATGTAAGACAAGATGAAACTGAAAAAAAAGTGGAAAATTATTCAGTTAATGCATTAAAATTTTTGTTTGCTACTTGCCATTTATAAAAATTGTACAAAAATTTGTCATGAAAGAACTAATGCAATAAAAGTGAATTTAAAACTAAATTTTTTCTTCTAAATTATTTGAAAAAACAATTTTTTTAGTTATAAAAATTTAAATTATTAAATGAATAGTCAATATGTCTTTCAGTGAAAGCTTTTTGACAGAAAATAAATAAAAAACGAAAAATGAAAAATGTTGTCTGTATATGCAGTCTAAAATTATTAATTGCAAGAAAATTTTCTATTTTATTTTGAATAATTTTTATTCGCTACACTCATCAAAATATATTTGCAATAAAAAAAAGTCAAAAAACTTGTTAAAATTTGCAAATAGTAATCATTTCAGTTTACTTTGAATAAAGAATGAATGCATTATGCAGATGTAACAATTCTATGACTGCTTAAATTAACAAAGAAAGTTGAAGTAATGAAAGATTAGAAGAAATTTGAATTATTTTTGGCATAAATGAAAGAAGAGAAACTAAAATGCGACGTAAAAGGCCTGATTAAGACGTGTAAGCAAAATGAGAATGAAGTGAGAAAACTGAAATAAATGAATTTGTTTCTCAGCTACCGCCTACTTTTATTCTTCAAATGATGTTATCAACTACGTGTGAAACTGTTCACATTTTTTAGAATTACACTGCTTGCAGCAATAGCTCAAAATGATAGAGATGAAAATGTAATTTTTAGTATTATCAAAGCATGGAGTTAATAGCAATACTTGCAATAAATTATTATTATGAAGCAGATGAGTGTATTATGAAGCAGACTCTTACCTTCAATGGAATCGAAATAATCAAACGTTCCATGCTTAAGTCCTATACTGCAATATGGTAGTTACGGTATAAAAACTATAATGTCATAACTTTGTGTGTTATTGTAGTTAGGGTATAGATGAGGCATTTGAATTTTTTAGCAGTTCAGATGAATCACACAAGGAAGAGAATGAATGCATGCTTATTGGCCTATTCTACTGTTTTTCATTAATGCAGAATGTGATAATAAAATTAAACTTTGATTATCTTATCACTATTCTGCATTTTGAGGTCAGCATTATGCTGATTATGACAATGATTATTTCATTAATTACATATTTATGACATTATTCCATAAACAAAATTTTTGCATCTGTTTAATAATTATGAAGAGAAAAATTTTACTACTTGATGACATTTCTGAATCTTAAATAATTAAAAAATATTTGTAATACATTTTCAACAATGTACAGATTTGACAAAAAATTATTGAAATGCTCAAAAAATCTTATCTTCAAAGAAGTAGCACTTACAAAAGAAATGTAATTGAATGAATTATTTTGGAAACTATTTTTAAAACCAATTACTATGAACCAAAACAAATGGAGTAGAGCAATCTCTAATTAATTATAATGATGCTTAAATGAAGTCATAATACACTATGAAGTTGAATTGGAGTACAGCAATAGTAAAAATTGTACTAGAATTCAATTCCTAGCATTGGATAAAACTGATAGCATAATTTTGCATGTAAAGCTAAAGGACGTTAGATGAAAGCAATAAAAATATGTAAATTATTTGCTAAATTAAGTTTGCATTATAAGAAAGTGATACTTTTACAATCTTGTAAGAACAGAATTTGTATAGCAGTGAGAAACTGAAATGCTATCACCAAATGGTTTTGGAATGTCATATGAATGGAATATTCATGAATAGTGAATAATGATTATTTGTGTCAAAACAAACCTTTTTTATGCGAAAATTTGAGTAATACAATAAAAGAAGAAGAAAAGTTCTGAAAAAATGTTTCTTCACACATAGTTTTCATACTAAAGAAAAACGTGCTCTTTATGAAGTTCCAGATTAATTGATAATTAAACAACTATATAATGATCAATAATATATCTTTATTAAATTAATGACATATTTGCAAGTAATTAATAATTTAAAACAGATAAAGATGAAATTTAAAATAAGAACGAAGAAAGTCCTAGTCGCGAATGCTATTATCCAATGTATGATTATGAAAGCAGTAAAACTAAAATATGTACAAAATAATCATTATAACAAATTATGAGTTTTGAAAAGTAAAAGAATACAGTATCAGAAACTTGCTAATATCAGATTATTCAAATCAACAAGTACAGAAAAACAATTCTGAATTGTAAACTTTAATTTTCCCAGTTGAAATTTGAAAATATGCATAAAATGTATCCATTCAAAAAATTATCATCAATACAAGAGTGAAAGCAATGATCGATTCAAATTAGGAAAACTATAAATTTTTAAATACATTTAATTCAAGCATTAATTTAAGATTATATGCCTCATTTCACTTCATAATTAATAATGCATCTTGCAAATATTATGGACTTCAAGAAATCACAAATTCTCGGAGAAAATCAAGACTGTCATTATTCTTTACTTATATAAAATATAGATCTTTCTATTTATTGTATATATGACTGCCTTTCTAAGCTTCAATTACAATGAAAATTTGAGAACCACAAAATCTATGAAAAAGAAATTTTTACCTTCGGCATGATCATGAAAGAGCAGTTATCTTTATTATATCGATATTTTTGATCGCAAAATACTTCTGTTGATTTGACTTGATTTGAAAAATAAACAGTATCGATTCTCTTCGATCCAGATAGTCACTAGTAACAGTAAGAACAATAGCAACGATATCAATAACGACTAATAATAAAAAAAGAATGGTAATAATGTATGTAATAATAATAATAATAGTAATAATAATAATAATAATAATAATAATAATATCAATAGTATCAGTAGTAAAAAAAAATGCAAATGCGATGCAGGTAAATAAATGGAAATAGTGTTAGCTAGGTATTAGCTGAGAAATGGAAGCTGGAAAACGAAATGATGCAAATAGCTGGGTTTATTTCAAGTGTTCCATCCATATTATGTCATTCATATGCATCAACATCGATCTCATCACGAAGATGTCAACTAGAAAAACAACTAGCAAAGTATAGGCATAATTGTTTACACTTGAATAGCAAATATTTTGACTGAGAAATTATCGCTTCAGAGGACTTTTTTGAAAACGAACTTTAGATGCTCTCACGTTGACACACGCAAATAAACATGAACTTTATTATAGCCTACCTGTTGCGGAACTTTGCAATTAATTAAGATAAGTTGAACTAAGTAGGCTTACACAACATAAATGCATGCATTTACCTAACTTATCCTTTAA